GAGTTCTTCTTCCGGCGTCAAAGGTCACGTCGTCAGCGATAAGAGCTTCGAGAAGAGGAGCCAAGAAAAATCGACCGAGCTCAACTAAAAAGCCATTAAAAAACATGGTCAGTACGTCGTGTGACAGCGCTCACAGTGTGTATGTTTGTGTTTTAATGTAGACACTCACCAGGCAGCGCAGAGTGGTTGTTTTAAACGTCACATTTCAGTAAAAAAAGAAGGTGTTTAAGGAGGCTGCAGGGCTCTGTGCTAACGTTAGCGGGTACCTGTGTGGTTGTTCGTGTGTGGTGGTGTTTGTGTGTGTGTGTTGGTGTGTTGTGTGTTGTGTGTGTCTGTCGTGGTGTGTGGTTGTGTTGGGGGACGGTTTTGTGGTAGAGTGTGTTCTTTCTGATCGTACATGGAGAGAGAGACAGTTTACTGCCAACTGGGCTGCCTTAGATTATACGAAGGACACTTCCAGTCAACGCGCTTTTCTGTTTCGTTAATGTTGCAGGACGAAGCTTAATTCACATTTCAGGTGGCGTCTTTGAATCATGAATCACTTCTCTGAATCGCAAAATATGCTGAAAAATCATTTTTTTTGTGTTTAATGACTGCATACTATTGTCTTACACAAACTAACATGTTAACAGGACCTCATTCCACAAGGAAATTAGACTTATCTGGACTATTATTCCTCTATAAGACCTTTTAAACATCATGTTTTTTCCCTCCATCATTAGTTAACTATCAGAGCTCAAAGCAATGTCTTAAAAAGAGTCAAAGCCTGTAAAAAAGAAAGAAGCTCAAACTATATTCGAGTTCAATGTTAGTCGATATATAATGACAAAAACAATATTAAAAACACAAAAGCAAGTCTGCACATCTCTGAATATAACCACTAAGTGTTTTATTTCTGTTGCTATTCTGGATATTTCCCCCGGGATAAATAAAGTATCTATCTAACTGAATATTGAAACCCCAATCTAACTACACGTGTCTGGTCTTTCAGTCCCACACCATCCTGCTGGTGCAGCCCACCAAGAGGCCAGAGGGAAGGACATACGCCGATTATGAGTCTGTGAACGAGTGTATGGAAGGTAAGCCGCCGGTGTGTTTGTGCCGTGTTGTGACGACGTACCGTTACACTCCCACAGTGACACGTGAAGACAGTTCCCACTCCTCTTTCGCGTACATGTAGGTGTTCTCCCCTCATCCTCCTGGACTCTCCGTTGCGACACAAACAGGAGTCCAGACACGCAGTTTGTTTAAATGTGACGGCAAAAAGTCACAATGGAAGTCTTATTGAGTTGAATCTGGGAACGTTTCCATGAAATTCAATCTAATTTGAGTCTGTATCGGTTTATATATCAGTTGTATCTGTATGTGTGCAGCTTGTGTATACTTACACGAGGAGGTTGGTCTGGTTAAGACAGCTACACTTATACAATACACAACAATAAGTTATTTTGAACCACACATGTAACATGAAAGATTAACTCCAACAGAAACTCAGACTTACCAAATCGCAGAATAAATGACAGGAAACACCTGGAGATGTAATTATTAGTTATTCCCATTATAGATTTTTAAGTTAAGAACCCAAATAATGTTTATTTCAATGTGATTAGACTGTAATCTAATGGGAAATATGGTTATAACTATATTTGTCAGACATTTAGTTGATAATATACAGTGTGCATTAACAAATACCTTTCCAGTCAATAAGTATAATGTTTTGTATATATTTGTCTTTTTTTCCCCTCTAACTCATGAAGATGATTGTCGTGTACTATATTGTGCTCTCTGTCTCCTGCGCAGGTGTGTGTAAGATGTACGAGGAACATTTAAAGAGAATGAATCCCAACAGTCCGTCCATAACGTACGACATCAGCCAGCTGTTTGACTTCATCGATGACCTGGCTGACCTCAGCTGTTTGGTGTAAGTTTGACGAGAAAACAAACTCATATTTTATGAATATTAAAACATTTAAACACTCAATCTGAACACTTTGGTTGGACTCCGCAAGTAAGTAATACACCATATATACCGTGGTATAAGTCGTGTCCCACAGGCAGTGAGTATGTTTTGGGGCTTTCGGCAGTAAAAAACACTTAAGTTATTATATTAGTCAAAACAGATCCACCAGGATACAAGGAATTTTGTATAGAAGCATGTTTAGTGAAATTTTACTTTATTTATTTATAGACAGCAAAACATATGTCTTACATATTGTTTAAAGACAGTTAGTGAGGAGTGGAAATGAATTCACAGTCCTCGAGTACTCTTAAAAAGGAGCAGACGTGCTGTAAAATGAAAAGTTAGGTCTCTATACTAAATCAAATATATGAATATAGGACTATTCTTTGCTCCATTGTCCTACTAAACTACTAAAACGAGAAAAATATCTTAGCTGCATGCATAACTAATATATATAAAATAATACAACCTTCACTGTTTGAGGTGGTTGAAGAGAAATGACACACGATGGCAAAGTGAGCTGCGTGTTTATCAGTATCCACGGTAACGGCTGTTTCCTGCTCGTGGTGGAGGTTGGCGCGTGCGTCCCACAGTTTACCTGTTTATTTACGGCCTCCCTCTAGAAGTGCCTCCGAAGCTGTGAGTGTGACTTCATGTGGAGTTACTCCTGAGCTGTTGGCGGAGAGGGACCAGCTTGGGAAAGAGCCAGAATCTACTCAAACCACAAGATCGTGGGAATCTGTAATTGGCGTATAGAGAAGGGCTTCACAATGAATCGACATATTATGGCAGTAGGGCCAAGTGCAATATCCAAATCACAGAAGCGGCAGTTTTTCCAAACGTGTGACAAAACAGCATTATAATGAAGTACTGTAGTGCTGCAGAGACGCCTACAAATCTCAATCTCCAGATGGAAGAATACACATTGGTTTAGTACAGACCAAAAAACATTTCATGTTTTCATAGTTTTTGTCAGTGAAAATTATGATGCGACAAAGATCATTGTCACTAATGATGAATAATATCACAATATGATCCCCCCCACCCCCACCAGTCGTGCAGCCCTGATCCAGAGATACAGGAAGACTTGATTAATGGAACGGCCGATGTTATAATTTGAAAGTTGCAGTATTCATACTGGTGCACACTGGTTTTATCTTCTAGTAAAATGGATGAACCACTCCTGGCCAAAAAGCTTTCATATAATTAATTAGAACCCAGAATCTTTTTATGATTTAGTCCCTCTTCAGTTTTCATCTGTTGTCTGTTGATCTTTTTTTCTGGTTAGTTGGGGTTAGTTCATACTCCCTCACAAAGCCAGCACAACCTTAATACCACTCATAAAGCAACCGTACAAAGACCTGTTCTGCGTTTTCTGACAGACATTTTGAGTTGACATGTATGCATTACGATAAAGCCCTTATTGCTTAATCTCATTTTTTAAGGGGATCCAATTTTTATTGTGGGTACAGTGGGTATATATAGAAGATGTACAACAAACCGACATTGCTGCAATTTTCCTGTAAGAGCAGATGAAACTTGCTCTGTCAGAAGCCCCCTCAATTCATCAATTCAATTTAGCTTTTTTTGTTTTTGTTTGGGCGGTTCAAGCCCTCTCTGACTGAAGTGCCGTTGAGCACAGCCATGGTGCTTTTGTTGCTCCCAGTAGCTGAACTTGACTTCTTACCTCAAGGAAAAGGGCAAGCAGACAGAGAAAGGGAGAAGGAAAGAGTTTCAGTCGATTATTTCCTTAAAGAGAAAGCGTTGCCTGACTTACAGTGAATTACCATTCTGTGTGCAAATTACAAAAGAAAGAACGCTTAAAGAACATTTGAACCTGAATGTAGTTTTTGTGCCGCTTCAGGTATCGCGCCGACACACAGACGTACCAGCCATACAACAAGGACTGGATCAAAGAGAAGATCTACGTGCTGCTTCGCCGTCAGGCCCAGCAGGCAGCAAAGTGAAGCCTCTGAGGAGGGGGGGGGGGGGGGGGATCAATATCATTTTTCTTATCTTTAACTTGTGTTCGAACCATTTTGATTAAGCTGTTTTGAGAAGTTTTTGACAAAGTTTTTAACGTTTTTTTTTCTCATGGGGGGAGGTGTGTTTTGTATTGTAATGTTTGACTTATTAATAAACATTTCCTTTCAATAATACACGTTTCTGAAGAGTTTGTTTTCTGTCCTCGTCTTGTTTTGTCTACTTGTTCGTTCTTTTCCGTCCTTTCATTGGTTTCCTTTCTTTCTGTCTTACATGTACATTGTCCTTCCCTGGCATATTCCTATGTTGTCCTATGCTTTTCTGTTGTTTCCATATTTCCTGTTCTTTCACTCTTTCAATCGTTTCTGTCTTGAACAGTTTGTAAAAAGTGTGACTTAAACATCACAGTTTACTGCAGTAGTTCACATTTTTCTGGTAATGACATGGACTTTAATCTATTTAGTTCTTCCATTGGTTTCCTTCCTTTTTGTCCCTTTTTGGCATATTTTGTCTTATTTTTTCGTATGTTATGAAAGTATGTTTTCTATTTTCCATATCTTTTTCCGTCTGTCACCTAGTCTGCTCTCGGCTCGAGGAAAGAGCTACAAAGTGATATCTTCCCTTTCAGCCTTGCACATTTTGGCAAATAAAAGTCTCAAAACTTTTATTTTTTACTCCCTCTGAAAAATAATTAGTTTCCTGGACTTTTAAACTAGGTGGACCTAAAAAAAAAAAAAAGACATTTTCAGTTTCCTTTCTTTAATCTTGTAGCTTATTTCTCTGTTCTCCTTTTTTTAAAACTTTCTCCTTCAGTCTGTGTTGGGTAATGAGCCTGCAGATATGTGATACTGAGGGTGTCACTTTGCTGTAGTGCACATGGTAATTCCCTCCTTTTTCACTCAATACTGTGGCAAACAAACCATCTCAGAATATTGTATTTTTCTTCTTTTATCTGTGCTTTGGAACAAAATCTACAATTTTCTGCACTTTCAAAATAGATGTTCCTGTTGGGAATGAGAGTAAAAATAAAAAGGACATGTTTCTATTTTAGCTTTTACTGACGTCAGTTTGCAGTTTTCACTCAGCACAGTGACGAATAAACAATGTTTTTATAACACGCCTGGATAAAGTACTTTCCTCAGCTTTTAGGTGGACCTAAATATTATATTTCCCTTCTTCTGTATTGTCCTGACTTTATTTTTTTCCTTCATTTTGTACATCCTTCAGCTTTCGCTCCCTCTTGAACAGTATAATGTTTACTATAAAAAGTGTTTCTTAGGGTGATAATTTGCTTTACAGCTATGCACATGAGGATTTCCCCATTTATCGCTCAATATGTGGCAAATAAACTAATCTGGGAATATTGATTTTTCTATTTAGGTGAGAAAAAGTTAATGATCTTCCTCTTTTATTGTTTTATTCCTCCTTTCTTTGTCTTTCTCTTCTCCCCCCCCCCCCCCCC